TATATATATATATTGGTAGGAGATATGTGCTGCTCTGTCTGCCAACAAATCAGCTTGTTCACCTCCGCAGACTTTCACAGAGCACAGTGATGGCACAGTCTGAGTCAACATAGTTTTCGTTCCCTCTCAATTTATGACGACAAAAACTTTAACATTTTTGCACACCACAAAGGAGACAGTTCTAACGAGATAATTTGTTGACAACAAGACACGATTCTTTTGAAATAAGAAAAAAACAAACTTTTCCAGTGTGAAAAAAGAAACTTCTGTTTCCATTACAGCATCAGTAATACTACATCTAAACACAAAGACAGCACTATAGCATTACTCTTAACAAACAACAATTTTCACAATAAAATACCTGTTTTTCCTGGCTTATCACAGGACTACGTTACCAACCTTCCAACAATTCCACTCAAACCCATTTCAGGCAAGTGACATCAATAGGAAAAACCAACAATTCTGCCCAAGTAAGACGACAACTCTTTGCGAAGAAATATCAAATCTCAGAGGTTAAGTGTATGATTAGACCCATCGCATGACCAGGTCAGTCTCTGTCATTCTCAACCAGTCATAAATCAGACGTCACACAGTGAAATTTTCGAGGGAGAACAAGACTTAGAAGGATGAGACAAGATGAACGCGAGATGAGTATTAAAAGCAAGTAAAAAATCATGAGGGTTTGAAACTGTTGGTGTCTTTAAAAAAAAAAAAAAACAACCAAAAGACAGTCAGTAGTAGAGCCAAAGTCCTATGTACAACAGAGTTCTCGTCAAGAAATTGCAACAACTGCAGTCAACAGAGAGAGAGAAAGAGAGAGCAACAGCTGGAGAATGGAGTAACAGAGATCAACAAAGTCTCAGAACGCTTGCTATCATCATCATCATCATGGCTCGTTCACTGAAGAAACAAATCAGGAAGTTCCCTTCAGAAACAACTTTACCTTTGATTTCATAACCATCAAATGCATTGAGTGTATAAGGCAAGTAACTGTTATCCTCAAAAACAATTCAAGGAAAACGCATAAAAATCTGAACAAATCTAATAATATTATATTTCATCTGCAATTCTACACACATGTGCTCCCTGCCCCACCACCACACCCCCCCCCTCTCCACCAAAGTTTCCATCATCTTTTCACCAACAAACAATACCCCACAAGACACGACAACACCCAAACACAGGACAAGTACACAGGATAAATAGACCAAATTAAGAAAAACTTTCAAAAACTTGGCTCTCACAACAGACTGTCACTCTAACAACACCGACGCTGCAATCATAAAACAACAGAGTTCTCAGAATACCAGCCTCCTCTATGTGCATCACAACGAACTATCTTTTGTCTTGACCACTCAACTAGGGCAAGAATGTTCTAGAACTCTCAGGCCAGCACCTCGAAGAAGGCAGCACCCTTGTTATGACTAAAACACACCCTCCTAACTTTACATACACACAACATGACCATAGAATTTCTTCATCAAACATAAGCGAAAGGTCCGGGTTCTAAACCCACCAACTAAGGAGCTCAGATGTTCTGACAGGCTGTCAATCAAATTATCTTATTCATAGACCCTTTATAAGTTATTCGAAGAGGTTTCCCCTCATTACACACATGGACTTGAGAAATCTGGTCAGCAGTTAGATGTTTGAACTCAGACTTCAATAAATCAAAGATTACACAAGTGAGGCATCTAGGAGCAAGACCAAGAGTCCAAAATGGATAAGACAATTTGACTTCTAGCCAGACAGCTTACATCATCAGCCTACACACTTGGAGGATCAAGAACACGGCCTTGGGCCGTGTGTGAGCACACCTACACACGCCAGAAATCACACACACACACGCTAGGAACCGCCCCACATGTTGCAGGAGTCTGCTGGAGCTCACACATCCACTCACAACAGCTGTCCCTCATGCTCTGTTATCTCCGACTGGAGTCGGCTGGTCGGCCCCGTTCCTGCGTGGGGGAGTTTGTCTCTATCACATTCTGCAGCGCATTTGGCGTAAGCCACTCTTTGGGGATGGCACGCTCGATAAACGGGATGCATGAGCTGACGTACGCCAGGCGGTTCACCCAGCTGGGCAGCTCCTTGCCACAGAGTATCTGGCGGAGTGAAATGAGATAATAGTAAGGGAGTTTAAGTTAGTGGAAGATTTTGAAATCTATACTAAAGAAGGGACCAGCAAAGGTGTTTGCAGAAAGTTGGGTAGATCTGTTGTAAAGCAAAAGAAACATGTTGGTTTAAGGGGATAGGTGATAGTGAGAACCTCAAAACTAAAGCCACAGGTGATCACCAAGGTAACAAAGAGCTGTATCTTGTTGCATAACAATTTTTTCTTACGCACCAAAACAAACTTAACATTTTAACCATGCCGAGTCTCATTCACATCAAAGCATAAATAAAGGAATGACAGCCCTCAGAAATACATATCCAAAATTCCCTTTCACATTGTACTGAAACCCCAGAACAAGTAGGTCGCCCAAACCCCAGAACAAGTAGGTCGCCCAAACCCCAGAACAAGTAGGTCCCCCACTGTGACACAATTAGAAACAAAAGTTAACCTACCACAAACACTACAAAATCTGTCAAAACAACCAAAGACAGATTTAGATAAGACAAAAACTCACCCTGACTAGACAATAACCACCGTCTTAAATCTTTTACTGTCCTACCATTAAAATTTACCTTAAAAAAATGCAGCCAGAGATAAAAAGAAATTCGTGTCCATTAGACATATCTTAAGTAAACTTCACTATACATTACATTCTTAAAGTCCCAGTCCCTGTGTCTACATCGGCACTGCACCCGAGCTCCTATTAGAAAAGTCCTAGATTTACGCTTCTTCAACTGAGTGCTGACAGCCAAGTTGGTATCACACTGAGTGACAGTGCCAAAGGCCATGTAAATTACCTTATAATGTTTTTATGGGTGTTCAACATGTACATGGCCATGGCTTTAGTAGCCTAATCCGCCTTTAGGCTACTAGATTCATTATTATCAGGTTGTGGGCTCGCGGGGTTCAAGGCTCAGCCGAGCCCAACATTGTGTCCTTATTAGGGCACTTTAATCAAATTTCCTTCCTTCACTCAAGTGGAATTGGTCTCCAATTGTAGACAGCAAAAGATCTTGTCAGTTTGCTAGTGTTTGAGTGCTCAATTGGCTGTTTGCACAGCATGCTTCCTGGGAAGCCAAGAATGTTTTCGAGTGTTCTGGGGTCTGCCAGGGTAATAATAGTAGTGAAGTCCATATAATAATAATAATAATAGATAGCATTTGTATAGCGCATATCCCCGCTCAACAGCAGGCTCTATGCGCTTTACACTATATTATTACCCCAGCAGACCATAGAACACTCCGAAACA